GGTGAAAAAATGATTATTGAAATCAAAAAAATTACTGTATATTTGGGACATACAAAGGTAAGTTTCACCAAATTTCGTGAAAAAATATTTTTTTTTGCAAAAAATAAAAATCAAAAACCAAAAACTCGGTTATTCGCATTTTCACATAAAATTTGAGGTTATGTGAAAAAAGTGTCTATACAAAAGTTGTAGATCTTTTTATTACCTACAACTTTGCCATTTAACTTTTTTTCATCGGACTTGCAGTTTTACCGGAAATCGAGATTAACCATTTTTACCCTTAAAAACTCACCCCCTCCCCCTTCCCGACCTCAGATCGCCCGTAATTTATTTTTCCTTTCATTTTTGTTATATTCTCTACCTTTTCTAATGGGTTTCATCCTACTATATTTTTTTTTCACTTTTACCATTTTTAAAATTATCGACCCTGGTCTATTTGGTAAACAAACGAATCATTTATAATGGCTATGAGTGCAGTCACATTCAGCCAAAGACTGATCGAAATTGTTTATATAACATTAAAACAAAAAATCTACTTTGTAAAGATCGATAAAATAAAACTTTTTTTTATTACACTGTGGTATTAACATCCATAACTATATTATCATTTTCACTACATGCAAATGTGCTAAGACAATTATTATAGATGGTAGGCGACATCATAAAGTGTATTGCCATACATTTTTCACCAAACACCTCCATAACACATTATGAGGTGTGATACACTAAAAATCTAAAATATGGTTATAATATAAACAGAACAAAAATAATGAAGCTTAACTAACTAAATTAAAGAGACTTTAAAAATTCTCTCTAATCTGTGGCTCATTCACAATCATCACACAGTTTCTGTCACATCACCTTATTATAACCGGAAATGCATAGCTATTAAAAGTTACTCTTGTGCAACTATCTGTTAATCTACCTGATCTATATAATAAAATAAATAATAAATATATACCTGAATTTAATACGTAATTTCGGCACTCGGCTTGATTTCCCTAGTTTACTATATAACTTATTTGTTATTATTTTAATACCTATGGATCTATTTACAAACATAACCTCAAAATCATTCAGTGTATATGGTTTATAGATGTTCTCAGGGGTGTCCGTCAATAATATTCGTTTCTACAGTAATTTATGTATAAATTCGAATTCGAATCTAGGAAACAATTTTTCATGATTATTGGTCTTTAGACCAAACATGTATGGAAGCTGAGCAATCTCCTTTATGTTTATGGAGATATTGAAGGTCAAAGTCACATTTTTTTCAAGCTTTATAGGTACATTAATATTTTCAAAACGTTATTTAGAAACTTTTTATCGATACACTTACACACACGCACACACATACATACAGGTACATTCTTTGCGTAGCGCCACAGTAGCGCGCCGCGCTATACATTGCGTACTGGAAAAAAAAGTATTTTTTACATCTGATTTAACGAATTTCAGTTTTTTTGACAATAAAGTAAGTCCAGTACTGGCATATCGCTTAAAAAAAAAGAAATGTTGCTTGTGTGATTCTCAAAAAATAACTTTAACGCGTACAAAATTGCGGGCGCAAGCTTAGTGTTTAATAAATGTGTAATATGAAATCTTATTAATTTATTAGTATTGAAGAAGTACGACACATGGGAAGTTGGTAAGTTACTTTGGTTCCCAATTGATCAACCAGATGGATGGTGGATGGTGGGAAATTTTCTTAACTGACCATCCAAGTCCAGCTCAGATGGTCGGTTTGGAAAATGACCTTCTAAGAAACCTTGAAATGGGACCTTGAAATCCTTTGCTTTTTGTTCTCATATTCTCCTTTCGAGCTTACCTCCATGTTGGTGATTCGTCCCCTCGCAAATTGTTATTATAATTTGGTTGATTCTAAAATACGGGACCTTATTAATACTATTATTCAGTTTAATCAGAAAAACCGTGATGGTGCAGGTGGTTCGAAAATAAATTAAGTCAGTGGGTTTTTTGTATTTTGTTTCACGTGTTGGATTACACCTTTTGTCGACAATAGGGATGATGACTTACTGTTTCTCTTCATCTATGATGCTTACTACGATCGACCAACATACCGATTCAGTTCTCAGTGAGAACTGCAGTTCTGCTTTAATTTCGTACTATGACCTACAAAACCAAGATTTTGGTTTTGAAGCTCATATTTGTAACTTGTAACTATCATTCATTAATGATAGATACAGATTAATTACTACTTAGTTGATAAAAGATTTTTTTAAATTTATTTTGACCATGGACCATGCCCTTCTTCTAGCACATAGTTATTACAAAACTCCAAAAAATACATGATACCATAAACCTTAAATAAAAAAACATTAGAATTTTCGGAAGTTATATCTAAAATAATAATTTAAAATTTTACGTATTAATCAATTTTATATCTACAAAATTTTTTCATCACTATTTTCTATATTATATTTAAAGATATAATAGAAAAAGATAACCCGAACGTGATGGCGATATATTAAATTTCGAGCATACAAGTTTATCTCGCTTGTGCAAAGTCGAGGTGTTTTGCGTGTGACGGTTACTAGCCATCCATCTGCTGTGCCTGAAAAACTTTGAATTATACCCGTCTTCATACATATATATATATATATTTATGAAGACTTTTCAAGAAATAAAGTATAGAATTATAAAGACATCAGACTAGTCATAGTCTTCTTCACATTTATCAACTAAGAAAAAAATACGTATAAATGACAAAACTGTATGACCACTACCAAATTTTTTTTTGTGCACAATCCAAAGTTGACAATCTACGAGTCTACTTATCTACGTAATCTACTAATCGATCTAATTGAGTTACGTAGTTGAGAAATGTACTCATTATGTCAGTAGCTAATAGTAGGACAGCTACTGAACCCTCCGAGTAACGGTATGTCTGTAAGGCTAGAAATTCTTATGGTGATGAGTCATAGCATGCTTAGTACGGTAAGTATCGCCTGGCACTCCTCAGTTCTGCACGTCATCAAGCCCTATATTTTTGAAATAGTCAAAAAAATATTTAAAAAATACTTTTCTTCTTTTCCCTTTTTTTTTAACGCAGGTAAAAAATGCTGTTTACAGACGACGGCGCCTTTAAGAGGCACACCGCCGAATGCATCTCACACCTGGCTCCCGCAAGTCTTACGGACCCCCCAGTGGCTACCCACCGAGGACCCCGCAACTCTTACGGGCGCTTTATGGTATATTATCCACTAAAAAAGTCCTGCGAATACCTTCTACACTGCTTAATGCGAAGCCGCGGGGTCCCCGTTTAGAGATTCTACCACGACTCTGCACCCAGCAGCTTCCCGACCTCGCCGGGGCTCCACGGCAGGGTTCTCCTGAGGTATAGCGGGAACCTCGCAGACGTGCGCAGCATTGCCCGCGCATGGGGACGAGTACGCGGCCTTGTGCCCACCGAACTTAAACGTCGACTGAATTGTATAAAAATTTCAAGCGTAAGCTTGCTGTAAAGCAACAAGTTTTTTTTTAAATATTTTTGACAATTTCAAAAATATAGGCCTTGATGACGTGCAGGGTTGAGGAGTGCCAGGCGATGCTTACCATACTAAGCATGCTATGACTCATCACCATAAGAATTTCTAGCCTTACAGACATACCGTTATTCGGAGGGTTCAGTAGCTCTTGGTCTATAACGCGTTATAATAATAGTCCAGTCAAAAGAAAATATAACTAGAAAAAAATTCACGTGGACCAGGTAGCAGACGGGACTCGAACCCTTCGCAATCCGGGCGAATGCACTGACCAATTATCCCGTCTGCTGCCTGGTCCGCGTGGAATTTTTTCTAGTTATATTTTCTTTACATTTAAACATCAAGCCGTTACATGCTTAAAAAAATATATAATTATAATAGTCTAGTCAATTTAGGGAAAAAGGGGTCAATCTCGGAATTTGACACAATAAGCTGGAAACGCGTGTACAGCATCATTTTGGTGTTCTAAAAGTTGTCTATATGTATACAAGGTATTATTCACCGACATTCACGGATGACCTTGTATTACAATAATATGCCTGAGCGCTAGGTGCTTTTCGCCATCTATCTCGAAAAGTATTGAGCGTATAGAAAAAAATTGAGACAAAAGTTGTGGATTTCTTTTTATCTTAGGTGTTGAAGTGATTGGAACCAAAGAAACGGAGATAATAGCAAAAAACCGATTTTCGTGACCTTTGCCCTCGAACAACTTACGAATTTCGAGACAACTTTTAGAACACAAAAATGAAGCTGTACACGAGTTTCCAGCTTTTTATCTCAAATTGGTGAAACCCTAAACTGACTGGACTATAAGGGTTAGTTGAAAGTAACATTTTAATTTAACAAGGAATGTGACGCCACAAATCGGATACCACCTTATAAGGTAAGGTTCAACTTTGAAACATTGTACCCAGATTTCGATTGAATCGAAATCGTAAGCAGTTCTTATAAAGAACTAAATCAGTTCTGCAATAGGCGATCGTAGTAAACCTCCAGAGGTAGACTAACAAAAAGTATTAGACAAGTATTTTCCTTCATTCACATAATCAGAATATTACAGGGATATATTGATTTGTGCACGACGACACGTCTTGGTACAATTTTTACTTTAAAGTTACATCACGAACCCCCACACCCAAACTTTAACGAGCACTATCTTTGTCATGTTTTGGTTGATCAGAAAAAATAAGTGTCTATTATTTTATTATAATCTACGTGACGGACTAAATAGAATTTCGTTTACCCCGTCGTCATTCCGATTATTGATATTTTTGTGTTGAATTAGGAAATAAATAAAAAAATAGAAAAAGAAATAATTGAAACAAGTAGGTACTGATATATGCATTTATCACGATAATCCCAAGACGTGGAAGGCGTAAACCACCTTATTTGTCCTAAAATGTTACACATCACTGATGTCACCAAATGATAAATGTGAGGCATTAAAATTACCTGTGTTCGTAAACCATTACGAGGTTATCCTAGCGATTTATTATTACGTTATTAACGTTTTGTGAGTTTTAGATTAGAAATAGTACCTATATAAAGAGTATGTGCTTCATTCGTGAAGTCCAGACGATTGCAATGGCAGCTATCAGAATTAGTATTGCAGTTGGCCTAGTAAGTTTAACATAAATTTTTTGATAGTAAATTTTTACGGAGTTCTTAAGATTCCATTATATTCATTGTCAGATGGTAGTGCAAGTACGTTGTGTTTACAAGTGACCTGCAGTATTATTTAAAACATGCAAAAAAAGCTGCTTTGCTTCAGTTAGAATGAGTTTCAAGTGTCTAATAAATAGAAAATGCATACTGTTGTGTAAAAGGATTATATAAATCAATGAATTTTATAAAGGTAGAAATCTCCACACATTTGTTAAGGTGACAAAATTGCAAGTTCCAGTACCACCTAGTTGGGTTTAAAATATTGAATCCGAAAATCGAAAACATTAAGGAAAGGTTGCTTGCTTATTGATAGACTTTTAATGTCTGCGCTGCATCACTAATCCTCTGCGGAAGTGCGGATCCCTTAAGGGATATACGCTGTGAAGTACGTAGGTCGCAAATATCAATGTTTTGAGAGTTCTGTTGAAATACGAAAACCTATTAAAATAAAAATTGTATTACTTTTCTTTAGCTAAAATAAAAATAAAACAGAATAAAAAAGGTATTTGTGTAAGTCTATGCATTGATCCTAATTAAGCATTAGGGACTCATCATAAATAATAACAATTTTATAAAGGGGGAGAATTTGAAATTAAAAAGTTATGTTTTCAGATTCTAGGCTCGGCGAGCGAGGTATATAGCCAAGTTAATTGCACCGCCACGGGAGCTGGCCGCTTCCCTGATCCTGGTGATACAACCTGCAAGCGGTACACCTTCTGCGTTAGAGACTCTGCCACCAGTACCTATCAGTCATACAACTACACCTGTCCAACTACGTCCTTATTCAACCCAAACACAGGAGTATGTACCACAAATTACGTATGCAATACTACTACTACTACTACTTCTTCGGTGTGCACAACTGATGGGTTCGTCGCCGACCCGAATTCGACAGATTGCACAAGCTACGTGCAGTGTGTTTCAGTCAATGGTGTCTTCATAGAGACTGTCCTCACTTGTCCGACCAATACATTCTACGATCCGGACACAACTCTTTGCGAGTTGGGATACAGTTGCCCAGGGCCTACATTCTCCTGTACCGCTGCTGGCCGCTTCGCTAACACGGCTGACGAGACTTGCCAATCGTATTTCATGTGCGTTTTAGTGACTGGCACGTACGTACAATATAATTATACCTGTCCAACTACATCATTGTTTAATCCCATAACTCGTTTGTGTACCATTTCATATACTTGTACATAACTTGTTTTATGTGTCCTTAAATCTGATTTAAGGACCTATTTAATCTTTAGGGTGTATAAATAAGAACTTTAGATATATATTTTAATAGAAATGGCTATGAGACCATGATATGGATATATGTATTAAAATTTAAATAAACATTATCTGAAATAAAGATTTATTTTTAATTGGGATATATTGACAAAATTAATTTATTTTTATCCTTATGGAATAATTTTTCTTTCCGCTATAATGAGGCAAAATCACTGAACACTTAGATAATAAGATAGACATCCAGCCCGCCCGCAAGCTGTTATTGTTTTATAACGTAGCTGATAACGGATAATACTAGTAAATAATGAAGTAATATTTCGATGTTTGTCTTTACGATGTTAATCTAAGGTTTGAATGTGTACTTGTTGATACACCAGCTTCTCTCCGCAAGGATAAATTCTGCTTCGGATTAATGTTTCATACTTTGCACATTATTGGACAACCACTATCTGTGATAATAAATCATTTAGGATACCTATATAATTTCAAGTTCATTTTTCTTGGTAATCTTCTTTCAGGCCTTTCTTGATAAAATGTTGTATTTAAACCAGATTTGCTCTGAACCTCTTGAATTAGTACAGAAGCTAGTTTTCTCGCTAATGATAAATTTTGATTGAGTTTAAATAATGTGTCCTTTGTGTCTGGAAGGTTCGCGCTCAGCAATTTAAAGGGTCGATCGTCGAGTGTAGTTTTCTTCATTGTAGCATAAAATTTTCTGAAGTAATTATCTCTCGCTTCATTTATTAAAGAAGCGGGAATTTTAGGTTTCATCTTGTCTCTTGTTCCACCACCTACAGTAACCGTACTTGTATCATGATGTTCAGTATTCGAAAAACTAGCTCTCTTATCGTCCCCCGTGGAAAGATTTTGCGAATATTTAGGATATTCTTTGAAGAAATCTTTAAAGTTTTCATAATCGAATTCAGGAAAGCTTGTCACTAAATACGTAGATTCGTTGACTCGACGCACTTGATACGTTTTAACACTAATGGAAATTGGGAATAAGCTAATCAGAATGAATTTTATTAACAAAAAAATATTTAAAGCGATCATTAAAATGATATAAAAATAATGCTAGAGGTTATAATGACAGTCATTTCAGTTGAAGATTTTCAGAAGTGTCAATATTTAAATCATAATGCAAAGAAGTATACTTTCTATATTACTCTTGAATGGATTTTGAGAGACCGAGGGAGTGCATGATCTTAAAAAATCTAGACACGGGGAAATTTATTTTAGCTAAAGAAAAAATTAAAAGAAAATAATGAATTTGGATGAGGTATTAATAGGTTGGATCATAGAAATTATTCTCTAAGTGTTGGACCACGGCCAAGTTGTTTTTTTTTGGTGATAATTTTCTGTACATTTATTTTGTTGAAGTAAAAAGGTTTACAATGTTTTCTTTTTAGACTGGCCAGCATGATATGACATAGGTTTGAATTTTGAGTCTTTTGTCTTCATGTGTCTCTTATAATGCCAGCAGAGGCTGAGAGAAAAATAATGTTATTTCAGTTATTTTATTGTAAATTTACTTTATTGTGTTAACCATTAATAAAGTATTGATATACATAATGTGTGTATCAGTTTACTACATCTAGTGTGATCGGAACGCATCCGAAAATCCGATCAGACGTATTCAGTTATCGAATTAAACATATTAAGCTTCAGGCCCACTAGCCTTGACAGCAGTCTACATCTATTATTAATGCCTTTGTCCTCATAGGCAGTTTTCAGATTTTTCCATGTCTCATACGCAGTAGTTGCTTTACGAACATGTACCTTACATTGGTTCTCAATTAGTAAGCATATCTTCGTGCGCGCTCTCTGGTCATCACGCTTAGCTGCAGCATTATCAGCAGCGGGTGTACTCTCTACATACTTCCAAAGATCATCATGGACTAATATCAACTCTACATCAAACTTCCAGTTGTTGTAGTTGTTACTTCCTTGCAGCTTCTCTATAGCCGGAAGTCCCGATCCCGAACTCGACATTTTTATAATTATCTCTTTATTTATTGTGCTACTCGTAATAGAATTTGGTTCATTCTCACCGCCTTCCATTGCGTTACCATTTTTTTACACTCTCTAGTGCTTCATAACTGTATTCATCCAATATCATTTTACTTGAATAGAACCGTGCGGACCATAACCTGATCGGATTTTCGGATGCGTTCCGATCACACTAGATGTAGTAAACTGATACACACATTATGAATATCAATACTTTATTAATGGTTAACACAATAAAGTAAATTTACAATAAAATAACTGAAATAACATAACCGAGCTAATGCAAACAGCAAATGATCTATCGGATCTAGGGAAAGAGATCGATGACGAGTTATTGACTGCACTTATGCTACAGGGACTACCAGAGGAGTATGCGCCCATGAGGTTGGCATTGGAAAGCGTCGACACAGCATTGACAACCGATTATATCAAGACCAAACTGCTTCAATTAGACAACACCAGGGCCTGTGTGAGTTCGAGTACTTCAGCCCCGAGTTCTGCGCTAACTACTACTAAGCACCACAGAAAATTTGTTCAGAGAAATAAAGAGAAGAAGGCTGTGAAATGTTTCATCTGCGAAGGGCCGCATAAAGCTTGCGACTGCCCACACAACCCACGCAAGTCAAAGAAGAATCATATGGCGACGGCACTATCAACTGCGAATCAAGAGGAGAACCAGCGAGACGATTGGATTTTAGATTCAGGAGCGTCAGGACATATGAGTCACAGAAAAGACTGGCTGAGTAATTTTGTAGAAGTAGATAAAAAGGTAGAAGTGAGCTGCGCGAATGGAGGTAAGGTGTATGGAGAAGGTTTTGGTATTGTAGAGAATGAGTCACCCAAGATCAATGTAGGTAATGTCATGTATGTACCACAACTGTCTTCCAACTTATTGAGTGTAAGCTGTATGGTAAACACTAAGGATAAGGTTGTTGTGTTCTCCAGAAAAGGTTGCGAGATTTATAATGCAGATGAGTGTACGATAAAAGGCAAACCATGTGTGACAGGTGTGCTTGATAGGGGCATTTATAAACTGAATTGTTCTTCACAGGCAACATCACAAGCATTAGCTTCTACGACAGAGATGAGAAATGAGATGGAGCTATGGCATAAGAGGATGGCACACTTGGGTATACGTAACCTCATTCTATTAAGAGACAAATTGGCAACTGGGGTAAGTTTTTCAAACATTATTAATTCTAAATTGGATTGCGTAGCCTGCTTGATGGGCAAGCAAACTAGGCAACCATTTGAGCGCAATAAAGCTAAGAGAGCTAGAGAGCTCCTAGAGTTGGTGCACTCAGATCTAAGTGGACCAATGAGCGATAATTCTATGGGAGGATATAGATATTATATTACATTTATCGATGACTTTTCGCGTAAAACTTTTGTGTATTTTCTTAAAGCAAAGAGTGAAACCTTTGAGATGATACAGGAGTTCAAGAGTTTTGCAGAGACTCAAACTGGAAAGAAGCTGAAGGTATTGAGAACTGACAATGGAGGAGAATTTGTAAACAAAAGAGTCAATGAGTTCCTGAGGGATCATGGTATAAAACATCAACTTACGATTGCGTACACACCCGAGCAAAATGGTGTTGCAGAAAGAGCCAATCGTACAATAGCGGAGAAAGCACGAGCTATGCTTCAAGAAGCAGGACTCCCTGTTAAATTTTGGGCGGAAGCAACCAATACCGCTATCTACTTGAAAAACAGGAGCCCTACCATAGCTGTGAGAAACAAAACGCCAGAAGAGGTATGGACTGGTCGAAAAACAGATTTGAGTCATCTCAAAGTCTTCGGATGTAAAGCGTACATGCACATTCCAGACCAAAAGAGAACCAAATGGGATCCAAAAAGCAAGGAGCTTATCTTCGTCGGATACTGTGAGGAATCCAAAGGATACAGACTGATTGACCCGTCAAATGGTGAACTTCATAGAGCACGAGATGTAGTCTTCTTTGAGGATCAAATGTATCATGGAGCTACTAACTCTAAAAAGCAACTGGACACGTGACAATCAGCTTAGGAGACGATGTACAAGAGATTCAGCCGCAGATAGAAGAGAATATACTGCGACAACAAGAGCAAAGATAGAGTATCCAGGATGAACAGAGAGTTCTCGAAGATATACTTGAACCAGATGATGGAGATCATGAGTAGAGAGTTCAGGAAGAGAATCATGAATCAGATGATGGAGATCATGGCGATGCGAATCCTGATGTTGCTGAACCTGAAGAGGTACATATTGAACCCGTAGTGGAAGAGTGGCGATACCCACGTAGAGAGAGAAAAGCGGTTCAATTACCTGACTTCATAACGTACTAGGCGATTTCGGAACAGGACGATCCACTTACAGTACCTGAGGCACTAGCAAGAAAGGATGCTAAGCAATGGAGAGATGCTATCCAGGAGGAGCTAGATGCATTGAAGAAGAATGGAACGTGGATCCTAGTAAAGCCTGACCAAGCGAGCAACGTTGTTGATTCAAAATGGTTATTCAGAATCAAAAAGGAGGCGGGGAATAAGATTCGTTATAAAGCTCGATTGGTTGCACGAGGCTTTAGCCAGAGAAAAGGCATAGACTATGACGAGACATTCTCGCCAGTAGTGCGACATAGTTCGCTGAGACTACTCATTGCTTTGGCAGCAAATCTCGCCTTGAAAATTGAGCACATGGATGTTAAGACAGCCTTCCTTAACGGAAACCTGATGAGAAGGTTTTCATGCGTCAACCACCGCACTTTGAAGAGAAAGGAAAAGAAGATTATGTGTGTCTGATACAAAATCCTTATATGGGCTTAAACAAGCGCCACGTTATTGGAACATGAAGCTGCACACAGAGCTGGAGAGCCTTAACTTCAAGCGTTGCAAGAATGAACCATGCGTATACATAAGGAGAACAAACAAGGATACTACAATTCTGGCCATCTACGTGGATGACATCTTAATATTCCACAACAATGATAAAGAGGTAGCAAAAGTAAAAAGGGAACTGATGTCAAAATTTGAGATGAAGGACTTAGGAAGAGCAGAGTTGTTTCTTGGACTAAGAATTAAACAAGAACAAAATTGCATTACAATTGATCAAGAGGATTATATTGACAAAGTCCTTCGCAGGTTCAATATGGAAAACTGCAATCCTGTGAGTACTCCTGGAGTACCTGGCCAACGGTTCGAGAAACCCCAAGAGCCATACACAGTGGATGCAAAGATACCGTATAGAGAGCTAATCGGATCCCTCATGTATATTGCAGTGTGCTCGAGACCAGATATAGCGCACTCAGTTAACTTTATGAGCCAGTTCTGCAACTGTTACACAGAAGTTCACTGGACTGCAACTAAGAGAATTCTCAGATACCTTAAGGGCACAAAGGATATGTGTCTCCGATACAAAAAGGACACATACAAAAATGTACAGGTTTTTGCTGATGCTGATCACGGAGGCAACATTGTCGATCGAAAATCGTATTCCGGCAATGTGTTTGTATTAGCGAAAGGAGCCATTTCGTGGCAAAGCACAAAACAGAAGAGTATAGCTTTGTCTACAGCTGAAGCTGAATACATGAGTCTGTCTGAAGCTGCAAAAGAAGCTATATTTCTCAAGAGGTTCCAAAGGGAAATTATGGAAAAGGAGGAGCCACCCATAGTAATCCACACGGATAGCCAATCTGCTATGGCAATTGCTCAGAATCCGGTGCACCATCAGCGTACCAAACATGTTGATGTTCGCTACCAGTTTATTAGAGAGACAGTTGAAAATGGAGAAGTCATGCTCAAATACCTCGATACAAAACAAATGGTTGCTGATGCCTTGACAAAATCTGTAGCAAGAGGTAAGCATGAGTTTTGCCGTAGAGAGATGGGTATATGTTAAATGGCTGTTCCAGAGTGAGTGAGTGAGTGAAAGGAATTCGAGGAGTCTGCATCATGATGGAATATATGAGGAAAACAATTGAGGAGGAGTGTTGAAGTAAAAAGGTTTACAATGTTTTCTTTTTAGACTGGCCAGCATGATATGACATAGGTTTGAATTTTGAGTCTTTTGTCTTCATGTGTCTCTTATAATGCCAGCAGAGGCTGAGAGAAAAATAATGTTATTTCAGTTATTTTATTGTAAATTTACTTTATTGTGTTAACCATTAATAAAGTATTGATATTCATAATGTGTGTATCAGTTTACTACATCTAGTGTGATCGGAACGCATCCGAAAATCCGATCATATTTGATATACCGTCCGAGCAATTTTTTAATAACAAGTCCATGATTTGAACCCAACAGATCTGAAGTGCGTGACGACTTAATGCAAGTAGGGTTTAAATAATCTGCTAGCACCAAAGCTCAAAGTAACTAGTTTCAACATTGAAAATGTTTTTCTTCCTTCCAGTAGGCCCCCATTTTCGCTGAAAGTGCGATTCGCCTGTGATACCCCGACCGAAAAATGGTGTGTTTTCACAGAAAATTTGCTATATCTCGAGAACGGGGCCTAATTCTAAGAATATGAAAAAAAAAACAAAAAACCCGACTGCTTAATTATTATACTTCAAATAAAAACTGAAAAGAAAAAAACAAGTCCAGTAGTCTATAATTCTGTTAATAAGGAACAAAGCTACTTTAACAGTCGGGACCCATTAGATATTCAAGAATACATAATATTTTTCAACAGTGGGTCCCGACTGTTAAAGTAGCTTTGTTCCTTATTAACTGAATTATAGACTACTGGACTTGTTTTTTTCTTTTCAGTTTTTATTTGAAATATAATAATTAAGCAGTCGGGTTTTTTGATTTTTTAAATTTACCTTTTTTATTTCACACTTTTTAGTTAGTATTTTAAGACGGTATATACCGTAGTCTTGTTACTTCAGTATGGGAATTAATATCGCGGGAATTATTAAGTACCTTGCGTCGGTCTAAAAGATTGATTTATTAAGACATATAAAGAGCGGGGTCAAGGCTACAGATGGGCCTCAATTTTCGCAAAAATGTGTGAAGTTAAATCAAGTCGTTACATAAATATCGCTAATGTATGTAAATTTTATAGTAAACTAGCACTTACTCAAAAAGTCATCTTTTGTTTATGTTTTTTTTTAATAGTTTAGCAGTAAATATAAAATTCATTTACTTTTATTCGTCGACTATTTAAAATTGGCAGTGGCTGCATTGTCATGTCAATGCCGGACGTCTAAGACAATATACACAAATTCAGTGTCAGTCCCTAGTCTCATAATTTGATATACCTACATAATTCACAGAAACCCAATATGTAGATGCCAGAAGTTAACTTCAAATGTTTTTGATCACTCTATATACAATACCAATCAATGACGTTTATGTCGCAGGTTGAAGAAAGCAGTAATTCCTGTCTGTTGTTTTGGACAATGGAGGCAACTGCCTTAGATCACTAAATTAAATAATTATGCAATCACCAAAGCAAAGTTTATAATATTTGATTATACTAAAGGCGCATAATAAAATTTTCATAACGTAAGTTAGAGCACCATAGAAATCTCATTTATTATCAATTTATAGTTCTCTTTGTAGTTTTCTTTTAAAGCGTTCACATTTAACAGGTCATAGACTCTGTGTTCGACCCTTTTTTATTGGTAGTGTAAAGCTCGAATGAAGAGTACTCCCAGTAGCGCAATCATGGCAATTATTTTCCAAATTTTTTTTGTTTAAAAAAATACCGAATAACGTGTCACTGTTAAACACAAATGCTAAGTAACTTTTACAAATATAATCAAAACAACCTATTACTTACTTTATTTTTAAATCTTTTTCATCATTAAATACTTATCTTATCCTAACTATCTATACTAATATTATAAAGAGGCAAGATTTGTATGTTTCTAACAAATAATCTTTCAAACTACTGAACCGGTTTCAAATATTAATTCATCATAAGGTAGCTACATTATTTATTATAACATTTTTCTTTATTTAAATACATTTTGTCCGAGTAACATAGGCTATATTTTATCCCGATAAATAAATTTCGCCCGTACAACGCCCGGGTGGATGACTAGTAAGTATAATATAATATTATAGATGCGAAAGTGAGTTTGTTTGTTGCGCTTCCGTGCCCTAATAGCTAAATCGAATATAATGAATTCCCATATAGAAGTAGATGGGAACTTGGTTCTTAGCTACAACATCGCAATACTTCTAGGCGTAGGGTGATGAAAGGGGTGATTTACCTATAAAAATCTACATTATTTACTTTGAATTTTGCAGAATTATTACAAAACCAATATTATCGCGAGCTGATTAATAAATACAGGGGTTCCAATATGTATGTACTTACTAGCGAAAAATGGGTTATTTTTCATTATATTAAGTAAACCTTTTTTGTAACATTAAGTAATATCGTTAAAAAATGAAAAACAGTAAAATTCTGAGTTTTTCATTAAAATTCAATAATCATAAATACCTATAATGATAATATATTTTTCATCATTTAATAAGAAGGAACTGTATCACAGTTTTATTGTTAGTACTTCGTTTAGGATCAGCTACTGCGAATACCCCGTTTTTTTTTCTTTTACATAGTACACCGCGCTATCACTTTGTCATCGTTGTAACTTTTTAAATATTTGTCGAAATGACATAGTGTAAAAAGCAAAGTTTATCGTCTTTAAATATCAAAAGCGATAAAAGTATTTGTTTTGATAAAAAATGATTTTTTAATACAAAATGTGCATTTTGGAAATAGATATCAAATAATATTATAGTTTTGATTCACTATTTTAGCGGTAATGACTTACACATTAAAAATAGATATATGGTGTCACGGACTTTTTTTTAGAACTATTTAAGAGATACATTTTCACTCTACATTATATTCATGTAACTTTTATTGTTTTTGCAGTGCAGGCCAAAATGGCTCGCAGATGGGAGATTTTTTCCGTCTCACGTGACACCTTATTGTTATATATTGGCCAATTCACTCAATAACTACATAAATTATTATATATATGTAATTATCATATATGAGCTATATTACTGTTAAGTTTCATTAAAATCCATTCAGTATTTTTAGGTGAAAGAGTAACAAAGATCCATACAAACGTAAGATTGAAATTAAAAGCGCAAGTGGTTAATATACAACTTTAAAGCGTTGTAGATCCTAAACAATCACATAAAATGAAAAATAGTGTTAGGAACCTAAACATGATTTTTGATTATCTAGACGGTGATACCCCACTCGACATATTTTGTCAACTTATTTTTTTTACTTCGTCACAATATGGCGACTATTTTTGCCCATATTGAATTTTGATTACTATGATATCTTTAGTAGCACTCCCATGATTGAGACGAATCGATTGATGTATGAATCATCAAAATCGGTCCAGGCGTTTGGTCTCTAGTGTGCCACAAAGGAACAAACATACATATATAGACTGTTAAACACATAACCCTGTCTGCGCGTCGCGCTTCGCGCTCTTGCATTGCGCAGCCGGGTAATAAACACAACCCTGTCTGCGCGTCGCGCTTCGCGCTCTTGCATTGCGCAGCCGGGTAAAAAGAGCACGGTATTGAACCAAGGAACATTTTAGGTCATTACACTTTTATTGATATAGGTGACGGTTGAGGTGCCCTTAAAAGACGCGGAATTGGAAGGGCTTTAAGATGATGTAAAATATTTTGGCTAAGCTGGATATGAAAAAAAAAAATTTTTTATTGAAAAAATTTTTTTTTCATATCTAATTATATCAAAAAATTACTGTTGTTTTTTGAATAATCTATAATAGATAGATTAATTTTCAATGCCCTTTCAAGTAGTGTAGAGCACGTGATCTATGACTTTTTTTCTATTACAACCAACTTGATTTTCCGGTAATTGGGTATCAAAAAAGTGATAGTCTGAAAATTAATTGAACGAACTTAGAAGTTTTTGGTGGTGTTCATAATAATAACAACGAAGGACAAGGTTAGTATTAACGATTGTTTTTTGAAAAATGCACTAGTTATTTAGAATATATACCAATATTCTTTGATTGAGTTGAGATGGCATTTTTTTATTAATATCTCGACACTTGATCAGTTGTAGTGTGTGTACCTCCGCTATGTACACACATGCATCTCCACCCTATATAAGATGGATGTTATGCTAATTAAATGGGATCACTCTTCAAACGCAGTCTGTCTTTCATTATCATATCGAACTTTTTAAACATATAATTGCACATTAACTAAGATTTATGTAAAGCCGGACCGCTAATTATATTAAAAAAAAATCTACCTAGAGAACACTTAACAACTAAGAAGAAGAGTATTGATATACATTTTTACTTAAGCAAATACCAATACAGAGGGCTCTAAATTCGTCGTGAACGATACAAACACCAGTAAAGTCGCTAGTAGCAAGATGCTATCACACCCTCTGTAAAAAGTGAATGAAATCAGACAATGTCTTCGAGAGTTAGCTCTCATAGCATGGGATCAAGGTCAAATTTGTCTAGCAAATCATTCAAATACAATTCAAGCTTCAGCGTTTATTGACCGCAGAGTAAACTGCACTCTAATACTAACCGCCAAAGTTGGATTTCAAAGAAGTGATAAAATTTGCACTTATGACAGTCTAGAGGGAAAGAGCATGAGACAGTTCCCAATGTGTTCGTGCGCACACGCTGCTTAATTACAGTTTCCGCAAATGAACAAAATGTACTTGGAGTGGCATTTCCTCTTTGTGGAGAAATATTAACGCAATGAATGTTAAAGTTTGTAATTCAGTCACGTTGAAATATTTGAATGGATGAAACTGAATGAATAGGTTAAAAGCTGATTCAAAATAGAAGACATTTTAAGATAAATTTGAAGTTTTTTTATAAAGAGTTCCCTCTTAAAAAGAATCCTTAAATCCTATTAAATTTAATTTTCAGTATATCCTAATAATCTGAGTTAAATCTTAAAGTTATTGATTATTTCTGATAGTTATCTGGTTTTATTTATTATTATATTTATTACTCTTGCTTTCATCAAGTCAATCGGAAAGAGTTATCGAAAGCAAATAATGTTCAGTAAAGAATTGAGAGATTCTTTACAAAAAAATGCACTACGTCCCTTTTAGTTGGATTGTTGTACGTTATCTGTAGGTATGAATAGCAATGTGAATATGATAAATGAATACAGTGAATGAAAGCGACTCCATTCGTCTTCATGCAAACGTTTACAAATCGGCTTTCATTATATTCTGAGCTTTCAACTACCACACTACACTGTATAGAGCTCCCGACAAGACAAGTGTTATAAATGATTTTGATGACCAAAATAATAATATAAACTTTTGCTACTTACTGATTCTAGGTTTTGCATTACACAGAGAGGTTTTTGATGATTTCCTATTGTGTATTTCATTATGAATATTCAACTTGTGCAAATGATATGTTTAAGGCTTAAATCATAGCAGAGATAGCCGAAGTATGGATGAA